TCTTGTCCGAACGATAATTGTTCGGGACAGCAAATGTATGTATAATAGCAATTCAAATTATACGATCGCGTTGATGCCTTTTCGAAAAGATTCGTTCAGTTTTAGAATGGTGTTCAATGGTTACTTTTAATAAAAGGATTGAAAATTATTTAATCTGGTTTATTTGGTATCCGCACCTTAAAGGGGACAGTCTTACTAGAAAGAATGGCGATCTGTCTCTTTTCTCTCGAAGGGGGATACGAGTCTTTTTTCAAGATCAGTGAAGAAAGTAATTACGGTTTCTTCGAGGTATACTTGCGCTTTAAAAAATTTCAAGGCTCTTGTAATTGCTTACATTTGCTTACATTTTGTTCGCGCGTTAGCTAATATCGTGTGTTCTCTGTACGAAAAATATATCGATGGAAAAAGCATGTAACGAGATAAACGACCGAACAATTTCATTTTATGATTTCAAGCCCCAGCGCGCTGCGCAGAACGTATATATTGGCGAGTAGCGCGATACGTCGCTCACGATACGCGATAAAATTGTGCAATATACGCGATACACGTGGGTCAACGTGTTTTCGTCCGAGTCACGGAGGAGGGATATTTCCAGTCCCCGGGACGTAAAAAGGAAATACGATTTCTCGATAAAACGCAACGGCGATTCTTGCAGAACGTATTTTAATTTCCCCTTCGCCTTACGTACGCGAGATGAAGCGTCTGCATTTTTTTAATGCGGTTTTAGGTTGTCAGATGCAATCGGGAATATCATCGCGTGATCATAATCAATAGAAAGTTTCGCGCCGTATCGCTGTTGCGTTAAATCTTAAATCGTTCGGAAATAATCATGGCTAAATTGTCGGAAAGATCCTTACCGGAACATTTTCGAAATTTATAATAAATGCAATGTGATATTATGCCGCTTTTATCTCCTGGTGATTAATCGATGTTGTCAGGGATCTAATTTCAATTGTTTGTGACACTAAAGGACTATAAATAGAAATAACTATATTCTCTCTCTTTCTCTCTCTTGTAACATTAAACACGATAAATAGTTATATTTCTGTAACATAAATAATGAATTAAATCAAATTTTTCACCGCAATATATAAAATTGAATTAAAAGGTTCGTCTTACAGCGTTTTCAAAATAGATATTACGATGGCAAGGGCGCTATTAATTATTCAGAAATTACGTGAAAAGAAACGCGGAAAAAGAAGTTTGCAATTAAGAGCCACTTGTGCATTTGCTTGAGGACTCCGTGCCCTTTCTTTCCTGCCGCATTAAAACTACTGCGCGCTACTGAACGCGAAAGAACCATTCGAGGTTGTGCGGGCGATAAAAAGTCTACGTTACGAAATGAAATATTCTGTGTTTCGCTGTGTTTCAGGTTGAGTAACTTTAAATAACGACCTAATCGTTCAGAATAAAATAAAATATATTCGTAATAAGTAAGAACAGAATTTTGGCTAAAATGTTGGAAGTTCACTTCGCGTACCGCGCGAGAGATCCTTTTCGTGTTACATAAATTATTAACTTAAAAGGCAAGAAGGGTGGGCGGAAATAAAAGGCCGGGGATGATGAAATCGCGAGGAACTCGACGAATCGAAGATCCTAGGATTCGCCGGCTTCCGTCCGACTTGATTTTTTTTTCCGCGAGTCACGTCTGCTTAACGTATTTTAGCCTTACTATGCCGGCGATGGTATTTTATGAAGCGCGACGCGTATCGCTTCCATTATATCAGGTCGTTGCATTTTATTGATCGTACGCCGGTGTGTTTCCACGTAATGCCGTGCTTGGCGAAGATGTACGTGCAATCCGACAAACGAATAAACCATGGACGTTTCCCCCGGCGGCTTCGCGGCTGGGTTTTCCCGCTAGTTAAAAATTCAGCTGTCGCGCAACCGGAACGATCTCGATGAGCTTCGATTTCGCGGTGGTGTATACACACCGTGCGCCCCAGCGAGAGCCGGCGAAAAGCTAACGGCGTTGTTATTAAAATTGTTTGCGGAGACATGATACTTTTAAGCCAGGCCGTTTTATACCCTCGTTCCGAAGCGGAACAAAGGTATCGATATCTTATTGAGTTTATACACCCAGATTCCGAGGGCGATGAAATAATTTCTTTGATCGTGTAATTTTTGCAAATGTTGTTTTTAACGCAGTGTTGCAATTCTGTTGCGATTTGAATTTTTGTTAATTTTTGCACATTCGGTATTTTAATGTTTTCGACGTCACTTTACTTGAAACATTCGCGTTGTGGAAGTTGATAAATTTTAT